ATTCAAGGGAATTTGTAAGTTGCACTATATATGTTTCGAGAGGAAAACTTAGTGTCAGAGAGTAGATTTCCAATTGAATTTTGAGCAGTTTCCAATTTCATGTGATATCTATCTTTCTCTCTCTTACTGAATTCTAACCTAACAGCAAGTGTAGCAGGTTTGATTGTGGTTAATTATTTTATTCCATTGATTTAGGTACCAAACATTTGGGGAAACAATAAATGCTTTTTGAGGGAAACAAGTTTAATTGAGGGAAACAATAAATGTCTTCACCTACATGCCTTAAAACCACGTTGAAGAACAATAAATACCTCCTGACGGACACAAGTTCAATTGACTGAACATGTATTGGGAAGGTAGCCATATATGTCTTCAAGCTACGTGCCTCTACACCAAGTTGTTGATGTGTTTTGTATGAAGAGGTACACTTTTCTATTAATGCTTTCAACAACTTGTATACATTTCAAGAAATCCAGTTGGAATGTCATGAATGCTACACATAAGGTAAATAACTTACCCTATTCCGAGAAAAGTAACTCCCCATACCGCGATTAGTTCAAAAATAATCTGATGTACTGTTTCATGTGTAAATAATTATTTTTAAACGGAATATATATGTTACTTGTACATAATGCGATTTCTATAACGCTATTCACCCCCTCATATGGAGGGGGACCCACTGTACGTGTAGCATCACTCTTTTTAGTTAACGCCGCTGATTGATCATAAAGTTTGAAGAATTAGCATTTCGTCAGTTCTTATTATTCTTCTACTTCTTCTTCTTCTTAATTATAATGAACTGGAAATGTTTTCACAATACTTAATTTGAAAATAGTTTTGCATTGTGCTCTTTTCTTATAATTTGATTCAAGTAGGTGATATATTCAAATCGATTAGTTGGTTGCACTATAGGGAAGTTGAGAGTTAAAAATACTGCATCTTTCAAGAAAATGACATTTTGGAATATGTAGCAATAAATTAATGGGCGTTTGTTTGTTTGATTACTATGCATCTCTTGTAAGGCTGGCGTCCTGTGATCACTATTGGAGTTGGAATCCATGCCAATATTGTGGTGCTTATAATGACTTAAGAATTATGAGAATTGAAAATTATGCAAAAAACAAAAATTTTTGAGTCCATTATAATTCTCCGTGTCATTCAATTTAATTAAGTTCATCAAAAGATTAATTAAACTAACTAACAATCACAATAATCGGGGTGGATCATCATAATTAGATAACACTAGACAAAATTATATAAGGATGTTAATATTTCCTTTATAATATTGATGATCCACCACAAGACACTGTCCTAGAAATCTAATGTACCTTTGTAGCTTGAACAAGATTCATTCAGATTTTGTGTTACTAATGTGTCGTCAAAAATATAAACCTAGGACTAGGATAACTAAAATGGAAGAGATAAGGGATTTTATGGCGGAGTAGATCGGGGTTATTCCTTTACGTGCAAATTTAAGTTAAATTGAACTGTTAAAGATTGATCACATTTTAATTATAACTCATCATGTTTTATTCTCTTTTGTGTATACACCAGAAAAAATAGTCTAAGATTGAGCTTATTTTCATCTTGTCTTTGTCATTTGTTCAAATGATAAAATACTGAGGGTGTGGTAAAGCATATGTAGTGATATATTGGAGGGGTAGGGTAATAGAGAGATCATATATTTGTTACAATTTTGTATATAGAATTAGTCCATAATTTCTTCGATTTTTAAATTAATTATGTAAATTTTTTGTTATTTTTCTCCATATATATTCATATATATTGCGGAAGCTCGCTCTAAGAATTTTCAAATTGGTGTTTTTGGGGCTTAGTTCAATGTATCTTTCTCTACCAAACAACCAAATCCACTGACTCCAATCAATAACCAATATATTTACCTCAATTGCTGTTCAATCTTACCCACAAAGGACAAGAAAATGATGATGATTTGAGACCACAAAGGCAAGGAGAAAACACCACAAGGTAGGCTATGAAGAGACCACAAAACAAAAAGTTTAAAACAACCAGTTTTTGGACACACATAGGAGGTTAGTTTCTCTCTTCAAAAGGGGCAGCCAAGTTCTCTTCTTCACACACACAAATCATACAAGAAAGTGGCTAAGGTTAGGGGCGGAGCAAATATATGTCCAATGCGGGCATCTTTTGGCCCCAAAAAATATATATATTTTTTGTTTATTTAACTCAGTAACCCAATTATCTATCCAGCCCAGAGAGAGAAGCCCAATTGTGTAATACCATGACCCGTTTTAAACCCATTCATATCAAAATTTAATTGAATCAATTGTTGACCCAAACATGTTCATTCATTTCAAATTTTCAACCCTTCATGACTTTGTCTGTGATGCCTTCGCACTTCGCCACCCACTTCCCTCTCCACCGGTGACAATGCTTGCCATTCCCTTCCCTCTCTATCAACTGTCGTCTCCGACAGTGTTCACAGTTCGACCACCATTCCCTTTCCGTCTCGACAGTTCATTATTGTACATCTCCTACTCTAGGCTCTCATCTTGATATCTCACATCTCCAACACTGACTCTACATCCTCAGCTTCACCAAAGTGTCAAGTGCCAACGCCAACTAGGGCTAGACATAGTCTGGTTCGGTTTGGTTCTAACGAGAATCGAACCGACCCGAAATTTTCAGGTATTTAGTAAGTGGAACCGTCGGGTCCAAATTTAATTACAGAACCGTTCGGGTTCGGTTCCATTCGGTTCGGTTCGGTCTGGTTGGTTCCATTCGGTTCCATATTATAATTTAATTTTTTAATATATACAAAGTTACGTTGATTTAATTAATGATATGTTCAATATTAGCTTTTACAAAATAACATAAATCAATCTTATGTGTTTCACGTCTCTCTTTGCTGAATTCTTCATAAATTTGATTATTATAATCATAGAAAGAGAAAGATAGTGAGCTCAAAATAATTAAGAGAGATATTGTAGAGTTTTAATTCGATTTTTTCGGTAGAAACGATACTACAGTAGAATAATAGATTTGGATAAAATTGAGGTCAATTTGATTAAGTTGATTTTGAACTGAAATTAAAAATAGGAAAATCATATTTTATGGTTTGAACTAAATTAACTAGTTAACAAATTTATTTAGAAAAAATAAAATAATTTTACTTATTTAAAATAAATTAATTAAAAAATTACGGAGATTCGGTTCTTCGAGTCTTGGCCTAGAACCGAGAATCGAACCATACCTGTTGATTTTTGATTCAAATACCCGTTTTGGTATTTAACTTTAGAAGAACCGTCAGGTTCTGTTCGGTTCGGTTCGAGAGTTTTGTCCAACCCTAACACCAACCGGCCAAGCCAGCAAAAGAAGAAGCCAAATTCGAGAAAGCAGAAGGTGGAGCCCCCGATTTTTTCCCTTATTTTTTTTTGTTATTTCAATTTGTGTAAATTGTAATAATAATTGTTTTTTTTAATATATGAAATTAGTACTTTGTTCTTTAATTGCTCGAAGCTGCACAAACTTCCTGTGGACCACCAGTTCATTGTTGCCTCTGGGCTCTGACTTTTTGCGGATCTGTGAAAGTAAGTTCTAGTTGCCTATAATTTGGAAATAGTATATATTGCTTTGTGAAGTTGTGAATTGATTATGTGAAATTGTGAATTGGAGTATTAGATTGTGAATTGCATTGCACAAATGGTATATATAGGTATTGGCGTATTGTACTGTGAATTGATTATGTGAAATTTGTGAAATGCACTATGAATTGATTGTGTGAAATTGTGAATTGCATTGAATTTTGTGAGTTGCTTCCAATATTTGTGATTCATTTGACAATCTGAATTACTCCTACTCCTAGTAATAATTGGGTGATCAGTGGATAAACGATAACACAATTATTTTTGTGGAGAAAGATATATTTTTGAAGCTCGATAATGAAATTATTGTACAACGATATTAAAGTATGAAAACTCACAAGGAACAAGTGTAATACATTAATTATGTCGTTTTTAGTAATAGTATTATTGTTTTATTTTTTTATCGCCATTAAATCCATGACCAAAACCTCGACATTCGTTGTTGAAAAAATTTTGCCCGCACTGAGCTAAAATCCTGGCTCTGCCCTTGGCTGGGGTTATGACCTTATAAATAGGCTAGGGTTAGGCTTTAAGTTGGACCTCTAAGAAAGCTAATCTGGCCAAGATTTAAATTATCCAAGAGGGAATACAATTGGACCGGGCAGAGCCTATGGACTTGATTGTTGAACTTATTTTATTCATCGACCTTGGCCTATGAAATACATTATCCCATGTTAACATCATAACTTGAGATTTATTGAGTATAAAAAAACCAACAATATATATCTGTCTAGTAATATATTTTGAGTACAAAGATCACGTGACCAAATGATGTTCTCCCAACACATTATTGACTTCATACACGTAGAGTAATAACAAGAATTTTTATGTTTATGAATTAACAATTGAATGATGGAAGCATGTGCATATATATGAAGTAGTTTAATTAATCCATGCATCTACATGTGTGAAAATGGAATGCAACAATTATATGATAATGGTTTACTTCATATAACAAATACTTTATAATATAGTGCAAGAATGTGATAATTTTTTTATATTTTTTTAATACAAAAATAAATGGGGAGACGACTTGTCAAAAATATGCTCATTGTTACATGAATAAGTGTTCAATAGCAAATCATTTATAAGTGTTCAATAGCCTCAGAGAATCATCTCCATTTTATACTTTTTACCTTCTAATAATGATCTTGTATCTAATTGGAGGTACGTCATAGACTTCCACTTATTGTTCATTATTATATTAGCATTAACTTTCTCCTCATTCTAATTTTGTTATCCAAGGTTCTTTAGAGACAGTTATTGACATTTATTAGTCATTGTCATAAGAATCTACCAAACCCCCTCCCACATATGTGTGTGTGTATATATACACATATAGTTCCATTTGTTACACCACTTCGGCCAACCATGTTGCTCTGGCCGGTGAGTATGAAGATACTCTTTTCATCAGTTGCACATACTAGAAATTCAGAAGTTTGGAACTGAAATGCAGCCAAGGATAGAAAACAAAATCAAATTTTCAGTTTGTTAGAGAAAAAATTTAATAGATAGTTTCCTTCAATGATTTTCATGTTCTTGGTTGCCTTTCAGTTCCATACTTTTGAATTTCTAGTATGTGCAATTGATGAAAAGAATATCTTCATACTCGTCAGCCAGAGCAACATGGCTGGCCGAGGTAGTGTGACAAATGGAACTTTGGATGGTTGCGTCCCTCATGAATGCCAGATTCTTAGACTTAACAGAAAGCCGATGTGGGAGGAAGCACAAGAATCTCTACATAGAGGCATCGACACAACTAAAACTTGAGGGATGGGACCGGGAATGTCATTTGTAAATTCAGTGCTGGAAAGAGATCCTTGCCTCGGGGTGATCGGTTTGCTCCCCTGTGCTTCGGGTGGAACCAATATAACCGAGTGGAAACAAGGCTCTGATCTTTATAATCGGCTCTTGAAGAAAGCTAATGCAGCACTACGAGATGGAGGAAAAATTCGAGCAATTCCGTGGTATCAAGGTGAAAGTGATTCTGCAGATGAAACAAGAGCTAAAATGTATAAGAAGAGGTTGATAGAATTTTTCTTTGACATCCGGCGAAATTTAGCTTCCCCTGTGCTCCCAATTATTCAGGTATGGTCACTTTGCAAATTTTCCGTAAGGTGAACTGATATTCTTTAGATCTGATTTGATTTTCGTCTCGTTATTTTCTTAATCAACCAAATGGGGTTTTAATTTTGGATCAAATTGATCTTTTCGATTGCTCATTCTCTTTGCTCTCTGCATTTTAATTCCATTGATCAACATTTGCTGTTGGTCTGGTGGTTCACTTTCTTTTCTAACAACGTTCTGGTAATTTTAGATTTCAGATCGTTTTTCCCCTAAAAATGGGGTTTTTAGTTAGTCATCAATGAGTTTTCATCTGAAAATGTGCTGAAATCAGTTGCTAATTGGTTTTATTGTATTTATGCCTAATGGTTTTGGGGGCATTTAAAATTCCTTAGGTGTCTCTTCAACATTTTGGTACAACTATTGAAGTTTTGTTAAAATTACTAAGTATTTGTTTTCATTTTCCAGTGATTCTCGGATATATGTCAATTAGTTTTATATCGTATTTGTCAGCACAAGCAATATTTTATATCGAATAAATCATAAAATTATATGATCACTGGTTGCAGGTGGCATTGGCTTCAAATGTGGGGCTCTATTACGTGGTTGTAAGAAAGGCCCAACTAGAGATCAAACTACCAAATGTAGTATGTATTGATACCAAGGGACTAGAGGTGAAGAAAAACGATACACTTCACCTTACCACTTCAGCTCAAGTCCACTCCGGAAAGATGTTGGCTAATGTCTTTCTTCATATTGAAGTTTAGTGTATTGATCTAGGCATGTGTGAAAAAAATAAATATTGAATTGGGAATATAGTGCTTGTTTGAATCAAAGACAACGATTTTTAGCAAACAATATTATAGGAAAATTGTTAAAAGACGTACAAATTGTTGCATACAAAGGGTTTTCTTAGAAAATTGTTTCAAAAAGACAAAATTCGTTGTTGAATAGACAAATATTTTCTTAATTAAAGATCAACAGTACAAAGACAATTATTTTTGAAAACTGATGTTGAAGTTACACTAAAGGAAATCCATAGTTGCGAATTTGAGTTGAAGTGTTCTACCCCATCAGGCTTTCAATTTACTACCTCACAATCTCGTTCGTTTAATTTTTTATTCTTGTTTTGTTGCCTATATAATTTGGTTGAACAAATGTTTAACTTGGTAGAAGCTTGTCGAGAAATTAATGATAATTACTATAGATGATTTTCACCAGAAGTAAAGTACTCTAAGCTTTTAACAGCAATGAACACGTGTCAATTGACCAGACAAAATTATCTTGAGATATACATTGGTGCTATCCAGCCAAGGAATACACAAATGTATCTTTGAACTTTTACTTTAATATTTTGTTTTCCAAATTTTTGGAAAGTTTTCAATTTATTTAAATATTTCAAAGCACTAAAGGCACACGAAAATAACAAGAAGCTGACTCGCAAGTCAACTAACACCCAAACTGATAGATACACTGTCTCGATGTAAGAACAAAAATAAGCTAAGGGTTAATAGAAATACTTTCCATGTTATATTATGATCCATGTCTATGGCATGTATCCAAGAATTGTTTGGTGCGACATAGTTTCACCCTAAGCTTAGAGTGCTTCCATAGTCCCGAACACGTGGGTATCCAATAAAATAATCATGAATAAATTACTTTTAGGATGACAATCTGACAGATAAATTCAGTTTAAATATATATAAAAAAAAAAAAAAAAAAAAAAAAATACACCAGTTTGCAACAGGTTCAAATGCGAAAATTGACGTGACAATAATGAACAGTAAAAGGAAGTCTTTCTTTTAAGAGAAGGAAGACCGGGTTTCAATATTGGCTAACACACTATACTATACTATTAATTCAAAAATAGCACTCTTCTGGACAGAACTTCAGAAACAGCACCTGTGTAGTGCAATTGCTCGAAAACAACTTAAAATGGAGAAATCAAAACTCAAATCCTTAATTTAAGTGTTCAACATCACATAATCACAACAAAATCAAAGAATACATCTTTACGTGACAAACCCATTCAAAATCCCATTTTCTTAAACACTATTTTTCATACATGTATTTGCTATATTTTTAATTACAACATCAAATATATATCAATAACACCTAATTCTTGCTAAACTTTAAATTAAAGAAAATTTGCCATAAACTCTAAAAGTTCAAGCAACATACATTTTACTTACCTCTTGAAAATAAGAAAAATTGAGGAATGAAAACCCTAGGCTTAAAAAGCCCACACTCTTTCTTCTTCTCCTTCCTTCTTCTCTTTTATCTTCACCCCTGTTTCGTTCTCTCTATTCTTTCTGTTTTTCATTTTTCCACAAAATGGTAAGGATAGCCCTTGTTCGAGTCCCATTTTTGTCATAATAATGCATTTTTGAATGGTACAATGATGTAAAATGTGTGATTAAAAATTAAGAAAAAGTTTTGAATTTACGTGTAATATTATTTTATGGAAAAATGTGTGGCCTAAATGATGTTAAAACACTATTTAAGAATTTTTTCCCCACAAAGAATGGGGCTCAAACAAGGCGTAAATGGACTGATATGCTTAAATTTAATAGATGAATATGAGTAATTGCAAGTCAAGTTAATCTTTTATATAATATATCATAACATTTAGTCTTTAAATTTTCAAAAGAGAAAGTAAGTCCCCAGATTCATTTATTATATCATTTTTAGCCCTCAGGTATTTGTAATTATAATTTAATTCCCATGAAAATCATTTATTCAATTTAAGTCCTTAATTGACTTTGACTTTAACTAAATAATCGCTTGACTTTAACTGCAAATGAGTAGGGTGTAATAATTGAGTTCAATCTCTTAATGAACATGCCATCGACACCTTAATGGTCTTACCAATGAGATCCGCAAAAAACTTCATTGGCCAGACTATAATATGTTGCACTTGGTTTCCTTAAACTGAAGTAATGACCTCGTAATAGTAAATCCCGAAGTTGGTCACATATAAAATACTTTTCTTGTCCTCTTCATCCATCCATATCTCGTGATGGCCTAAGAAGGCGTCAAGTAAGATGTATATCTGAAGCCTCGAGGTTGAGTCTACAAGGTGATTGATCCTGGTTTGGCAGCTGTATTTAGGAAATGCTTTGTTGTCGTTGATATAGTCAACACAAACTTACAACTTGCCATTTGCCTTTTTGGCAAAGTACAATATTGATGAACTAGTCTAGCTAGTGCACGTCTAGGATGGATTTGGCTTTAATCAAGTGATTGATCTCCTTTATAAACTTTCTCCATTGTAGTACAAGGAATCTTTTCATCATGGGATCACATTTAGCCAGTTTATCGTCAAGAGGGCCATTTAGGCCAATCTTAATAGGATGGTCTTGCTCTCATCGAGGACTACATCTGTGAGCTTGTTACATGGAAACAATCTATCCTTGAGATTTGTTTGAGATCAATGATGATGAGTATGCTTTTGGCTTTGATGCATGATGTTGGGAAATACGGGTCATGGATCATCCATGTGAGATGATCTGTACCCATAAGTTATTAAAAGGTTGGAAAAACTAGTTTTAACTTGAAATACAAAACTACAACTCCTCATAACCTCCCTTAACTCATCCACATGACCTCTACTAATTGTCCACGACAAAGAGAGAAGATAAATGGCCAAAAAATGGTGAGATTCGTATGAAAAATATCACCAAAATCGAAAAAAAGATGCCAAAAACCATAAATTTAGGCACTTGGATTGTGGATAATAATCTCTTTCACTGTGATCAGAATTGAGACCATAGGAGTGCTAAAATATGAAAATTTCAGGAAGATGATTTAACCACACAAAGATCATGGAATCATCATTTCAAATAAGAATTCTTGATTTGAATTTATGTTCAAGCTTACTGCAGTTTCTTTCGTAGGTAATAAAAGCAATAAGATTGAACTCCTTGCTGTAATACATGCTTAAGTATGCTACATGATTCAATTCGGTTATAAATCTTGTATAGAAAGTTTTGAAACCTAATGTGGTGTTTAATGGCATCTTTTGATAACGTGTCTAAAATTAACGAAAATTTTGAATTATGTATATAACATGCTTTTGATTTTAGTTGCTTCTTCAATTTTCGAATTTGGGAGAAAATTGAAATCCTAGTCGATTTTGTAGAGAATTTAGAAATTTACTACTTTTTGTATGTCGATATTAATGTAGTAAGATTGACATGGTTAGAGAGGTATTTCAATGAACTTTTTCAACTATATAGAGAACAATAATTTCGGACACAAAACGAAGAAGTTATGTGAATTTGAAGATTAGGTTGAAATCTAAAAATTTAAGAAAAACTGAAGATGTTGAACAATGACTTTCTTGCCTCACTCTCTGTGCATTGCAATTATGTCCCAAACATAGTGTAACTATAGAACATATATATTTTGACCATATAGATGAGCTTGGAATGTCGAAATTCGTGGAGAAGACAAAAAAATAATACAAATGGGGATGGGAAGGTATCGTGGGAAACGAGTGGGTACGGGCATCAGGCGTGCCCATTAGTTTTTGAAAAGAAAAAATAAAAAACCTCCCAAACGTGAGCGCGCATGAGGGAATTTTTTGCAATTATGAAAATTACATTTTGATCCTCGTACTATTTTGGAATGATTGATATACAAATATTATATTGTAAGATTGTTAAAGTATTTTTTTATGTATTTAAAGTTTAAAATACTCCTTTTAAATACAAAATAATTTATTTTATGATTTAATTAAAATCTAAAATTTTTGTATGAAAGTGGGAGGTACTTTTTTTTTTTTTTTTTTTTTCTAGTGCTCCCAATTTTTTGAGATTGAAAATTATTTTGAAATTACTTTTGACCCGTCCATTTGTAATTAATTTTTGGAAAATTTTATTCAAGTCTTAAAAAAATACGATTTTAGTGTAAAAAATTTTCTGATTTTAAAAAAAATCATGTAGCCACATTCTTAAATAGTGTTACTCTCAATGTAGCAGTGCAATTCCTTACTACATATTCCCATATTTTATGTTTAGTCCGATATGTCTAGATTGATATACATTTTAAGCGTTATAAGAGAGAATACTAAAAGTCTACGGGTAAGGAATGTGTAGAAAAGCTATGTGCCTATCGAAGTAATAAATGGATATGGACCATAACTTAATAGAACACATGATGCATTTAGGGGGAAAAAAATGTGATGCTACACTATTGGGACATAGTTTTTTGGTGAAATGAATGCGACGAAGGCAAGCCCGAGCAAGGATCTATTGATCATTGAATAAGGGCCGATGACGAGGTCATGGGCAAAGCAGATTTAAGAAGTGATGAGATTACTTTGCAAGCCATCGATCTTGGCAAGTAAAAGAACAAGTTTAAAGTTAGACTCGAGAGCTCAAACAATTTGGATCAACTTGATTCAAGCAAACGGAGATGGAGTTGGGTAAGAACACTACGCGACCAGATACAGATATTCAAGAACACTACGTGGTCGCATAGTGTTCTCATACATGCAACCGTATGCGACTTACCGAGGCTAAAGAATGGATTTTTCAACACTTCTATACGACTGCATAGAAGTGTACTATGTGGCCGCAGCATGAGGAATTTTCTAATTTCGCGAGTTTTCCTAATTATGTTAAAATTCTATTTTTTTTGGTAATTTTTATATTCTTTAGACTTTAGTTTTGTTTAGAATAGGGTTTTATGGCTTTCCTATAAATAGGATCCTCTATTCTACATGGTAAATAATTTTCATTCTTATAATTTGAGAGACTAATTTTGTGAGCATATTTTGCATTCCAATCTTATTCTTCATTGAACTAAATTTCAAGCTTATTAAGAAT